GCAAATTCAGGCCTGATTCTTATGGCAAATTTAACGAAAAGAACGATGTGCTTTGATGCCTGATTATTGTAAATTATTGTAAATTAGCTAAAAATAATAAGATCCGTCCAAACAGCAACTTCCAACGTTCAGTATTAACAGAGATATCGCGCTTTGAAAGGTCGGGTTGACGTCATCTACCGCTGTAGTGGCACCCTTGGTTTCTCACTTTTTTCCTCTGTAGTTCGATCAGTGGTGCAGAGGGCGGAACGCGGTACTTCAACGACATTGAACGTAAACAAATTGCGGGGGTCTGAATGACCGCCTGATTTCTTCGCGTCGAGTGCGCGTTATCTCCTGATAAGAAGATCCTTTAAGCGCGAATCCGTCTGTCTCTCGAGTTTCTTTCTGTTTATTGTCGTCGATGTTTCGCGTTGCGCCCTCTTTATCACTGATCGAACAAATAAGAGGAAATCAAATGTTTCACCAGGGCCGGATAGAAGCTAAAAGGCCCGGGCGGCTGGAAGTCGGAAGGGCCCGTAGGGCCAAAAGGCGACGGCCCCCACGGGGGGGGGACTCCCCTCACCGGAGGGGGTCTGGGGGGCCCCCCGGAAAATTTTGAAAAAATTGACCTGTAAATGCTTCATTTTACACAACTTTTTTGATATTATACGCTTCAGGGAGCGCTAATTTTCAAGTCCTAAAATGTGCAGGATACGACCCTTTTTTACATTTTATGTTATTTTTTAAGCAGAACAATTGAGTCGAGGCCGTCAAATATCTCAAATTTTTCAAAATTTCTTGAAATATTTCATGAAATTTTCTGATTTTATCATCATTTAAAGAGGTTGTTCCAAAAACGCCGATTTTGGCCCCCCCTGGATTTCGCCCAAACTTTGCTCAGATGTTTTACTAAGTGTCCCCGATGCTTGGGCAAAATTTCAGCCCCCTCGGATGATTAGGGGGGAGGGGGCAGGGGGGCAAAGTTGCAATTTTTTTAAAACTTTAAAAATCGATATCTCGCGAACGGTTTGAGTGTAAGTATTGCGGTTTGCGCTAAAAAACGTCAAAAAATATTCTCTACAAGAATATTAATGTTGTTTGCAAGGTTGCGTAATTGATTTATATTATTGATTGATATTATAATATTAATTAATAATGTTCGTTAGATTGTAACTATCTTTTCCTCTCTTCCCTGACCGTGTTGGATCGGAGGACTAGGTGTTTATTTCTTGTTTTTCCTTGTTTTGTCGCCTCAGTCTCTGCCTGATGATGGTGGAAATAATAAGCCACCGAAACGTCGCATTGTAAAAAATTTTTTGTTTAAAATAAATAAAAAGTTACGGTTATACAACTCATGAAGTTCGCCTTATTATACATAAAAAACCATGAGATATATATATATATATATAAAACTTTTTAACTTTTTTATGACCCACATTTTTCAACTCAGGGCTTCAGGATCGATGCTATTTGAGCGAAAATTCCGGAAAATTACGAGGTCGTACCGTCTGCAATAGGTAGATATTTCTTCGAAATCTACCTAAAAACCCATCGTCAGGGGCCCGCAAAGCTCGGGGCCCGGGCGGCTCCAGCCGCCCGGCCGCCCGGCTCTATCCGGCCCTGTGTTTCACTCTATCTTAGTGGATGACGTAAAAAACCCGACTTTTCAAAGTGTTAATATTGAAGGAACATAGGAAGTTGCTACCTAGCTGTTTGGGCGGATCTTATTATTTTTAGCTAATTTAAATACAAGAATCAAGCATTGAAACCCGATTCTGCGACCAGCGCAACTGACCCCTGCTTCTGCTTGAAGAATAAGTGCCAGTTTGAGAGCCCCATAGTTTGAATGAGGGCTGGACGCTTCATTGCGTCAACAATGAATGTTCCCAAGGTCGACAGACCCAGGTCAGTCCGTTACCTATAGCAAAGTTGAGGGTGCTAACTTTTGCAAAATGGTGGCGTGGACTACCTAGTGTGTTTCAAAAAAACGAAAAGTTTGAAAAGTTAAGCTTCTAAGTGTTTTTTCCCATTTCATTTGGTCCCACAAGAAAAGTGGCGAAGTTTGAACGTTCTAGGTTGAGCCTGCCGCAGGCCTCGATCCCTTCGCCGGAAAAATTACATTGTTATAGGTAATGCATGAAATCAAGTAGAAGGGGTGAAGTAGAGAGTGAAGATTGTCGTCAAATGAGGAAAAGCCTACATTTTCGCTCAAAAATCCTGCTGAAACTAATGTAAATTTTGAGAAATAGCTCGCTGCACGTATCAGAATTGAACTCGCGAAGTTTTTCCGTGAAGAAAATGTTCGGGCAAATCTTGTTAGTTGGCCCTCGGAGGGGGGAAAAAAAAGTGACAAAACTTTTGGCCCTTTTAGCTGCGATAAGGACCCGTGGTTATCCTTTGATTATTCTCGAATAATCCAAAATAATGGACATAATTGTTCAAGGATTCGTGGGATATCCTGACGATAATCTGAAAAAGTCAGGAGAAAGGAGTCGAAGCTTCGAAATTGTAGGGTAAGTAGGTATTATTGGTCAAATATTCACAAGATTTCTACTGCTGGCTGGGGACAAAGACAGGTGGTTTCCATGGTCTCTTTTGTAGACTTTACTATTTCCGGACTTGAGTCCAATTTTGAAGAGACTAGGTATTTGAAAAACTGTGTCCAAAAATAAAACTCAGGTATCTTTCAAGTGAATTTACGATGAGAATTTCGTTTATTTATAATAAAATCTCTCGTACTTAACAGCCCATGTTCAGAGATGGAACATGAAATTATCATAAGGCTCGAATAAATTTCAAAAAAGTTGAAATTTATTACTTTTTTTAGAAATATTGATTAAACCTTTGGAGGTCTGAAAGCGTTGCAGATCGTCTTTCTGTTGATGCTGCGGTATTACGCTACTCTACTGAATGTGCCAGACACAAAGAGGGGGCAAAAAGGGGAGTTTAGAGAGAAAAACCCCAACCTAACCTCTAAAGTAAACGAAAACATTTGCAACGGGCGAATGTTTTAGGCTTGGGGTGGGAAATTTCAAAATTTAGAATCACTGTTTCTAGGCGTTTCTTATCCTCCTAAATGTATCCTCAAAAGTTTCAATAAATTTCATGAAATTTCGTGAAATTTCACTCGAATAAATTTCATGAAATTTTCCATCTCTGCCCATGTTATTAAGGTTGTGACAAGAAAAGCCTCACCCCCGTCCGCCTATTGAATGACCACTTCATATCGACGGTGAAACTACCAGACCACGTAGGTAGGTATATATCTCGGTTTGCGATGTTGTAGATTTTCCTGCCATACCTACTAGGTAAGCACCTAATATATTTTTTAAATTGAAAAACTGTTGAACGTCAATTCTTAAAAATGTCTGGGTTATTTCCTCTCAATGCAAAGAAAACTCAAGAAAATGTCAAGAAATGACTTTGACTCGTTCTCCTTCAAAAATATACAATGGGAGCGGAAATTATTAACACCAAAAACGAGGTACGTGGTCTAGTAATTTCACCGTCGATATGTGATCAAAGATGGAAAGTGAAATTTCACGTTTTCATGAAATTTCATAAGGCTCGAATAAATTTCACAAAAGTTGAAATTTATTATTTTTTTTAGAATTATTGATTGAGCCTTCGAAGGTCTGAAAACGTTTCAGATGGTCTTTCTGTTGATGCTGCGGTGTTCTGCTACTTTATACTGAACGTGCCAGACAGAAAGGAGGGGGCAAAAAGGGGAGTTTAGAGCAAAGACATAAAGACGGAGTGCTCGTATCTAAAAGCACGGGGGAAAAACTTAGAGTCCCTTTATACTGAGAGTCAAGACAATGTGAATCCATTTCTGATTGGTCAACCGGATTTTAGGCCTTCACAGTGTCACAAACGGGAATAAAGATTACATTTTCACCAATTGCAAAGATTATAATCTGGAATGGACCGAGGAATTTCGGGTTCGACAAGGAACAAACGGAATGAGAGAAGGAACGGAGAAAGGAATTTAAGAATGAGCCGATCAAAGATTACGAAAAACGTTCAATTTGTGTAATCTTTATTCCTGTTTGTGACTCCATGAGGAGTGTTGTCTTGACTCTCAGTATAAAGGGACTGTAGAAAAAATGAAGCCTGGTTTGGCGCTGGGTGCTTGTATGAGTGTGTAAATGAGCGCGGGAATCCATGGCGGCAAACGGAAATTTGATTTGAACTTGTCCTCTTGATTTGTCCACATGTCCTCTTCGAAACGTATTTTAAATGCCTAAAACGAATAAATTAAGAAAGTTGGGACTGCGTCCTACTATAATACACCTACTTTTGCTCGGTAACAGGCAGTAATCTCAGATAAAGTTAGTTTTTCTTCTGCTCGTGGTGGTTCTGCCTGTTCAAACAGGCAGTTACAGTCGTAGATGACCGGTACTCCCGAATGAGATTAATCGGTCGACGACGGACCAAAACTAACCTAATGTTATAAAAATATGGGTGTATAAGTGAATTTGGGCAAAAATCAACCTAAAATACTTTGTTTCCGCAATTTTATTTAGTTCCCGCCCTACATTTGAATTTCAAACTTGTCCCGATTTCGCCGCCAATCCTCTAGCCAATAGTAGAGGTGATTGGAAAGAAGCTTCATTTTTTGCTTTTAGCGCTCCGTCTTTATGTCTTAGGTTTAGAGAGAAAAAACCCAACCTAACCTCTAAAGTAAACGAAAACATTTGCAACGGGCGAATGTTTTAGGCTTGGGGTAAAAAATTTCAAAATTTAGAATCACTGTTTCTAGGCGTTTCTTAGCCTCTCGAATGTATCCCCAGAAGTTTCAATATATTTCATGAAATTTCATGAAATTTTCCATCTGTATATGATACGCTTTCTCGTGGGCCACCGCTCCCGTCAATCTAGTTTTTACATCATTTTTATACTTTGAAATAGGTCGATACACCAATATTATCTACATGAGTTAGGTACATGAGCGCGCGCTGGTTGCTCTTAAAGTAAACAAGGACTGTTCTTTGAAGAATGACGGTCGGGTTGCTTACCTCATCAACGGAGAAGTCATAACATTGGGCTATTTTCTGATAGAGTTCCTTGACATTGGAGAAGCCCGATATGAGTCCAGTTGGGCTGCCTTGGGCTTGCTGGCAGTGGAAAACCAACTTGGGCTTCTGCACGTTCTCCGGTTCCATCTTCAGATCCTCCGGGTTCCTGCTCACCATGCTGCTGGAGTAGAAACTGCGCGATTTGTCGTACTCATACCCTAATGTACTGTTATTCCGCCCGTTGGCGTCCACCTCGTCCTTTTTATTGTTTTTCCTCTGGAATAATGGCATTCTACTTTGTCATAAATCCTCGTCGAAAACTACCTAAAGCTTCAAAAGTTCTGTAAAATAGTGTCTCTTTTTGTTTCACCGGTGATACACTTCTAGTCAAAAGACAGGAAAATGTTACGACAAACACAGAGAAGAGCTGCTCATAAGTTAAACCACATACCTACTTAGATCGGTGGAACCGAGAAATCAGAAATCTATTTGGCACTCTTCAGAAAATGTGACGAATTTTTCTGGAATAAATTCTAGGAATATAAATGTAGAGAGAAGATTTCGTCGCGGGGCGGGGGAGGGGGGAGTTTCTGCGTTGCAAGTCTACAGGGTCATCCAAAAGTCACTGACCACCCCTGTAACTTTTTTCCAAATTGAGATAGAAGTTAGAAATTTTGGGAATGTTCCTCGGTCTAAAGTAGCAACTTTTTGGTCCCCCCAAAATTTTAGGGGGCGGCCCCCCTGAAGAGGGGCGGGGGCTAACTTTTTTTTTCAAATAGCAACTCCCAATTTGTGATACCTCATTCAAAAGATAATAAAAAAAGAAAATTTTTGGCGCAAACCGCAGGACAAAAGGTTCATTTTTGACAAAATGGCAGCCGGTCAAAGTTCAAACTGGCGGAAATTTGGCATCTCCGTTGTTTATTGACGGATTGGCGTGAAAGTCGGAATCCGAGGGTTTTTTGAGACGAGAGAAACGATTCTGGCATTGGTTTTCCTGAAAAGTCAGTCCTTTTCAAAATGGCGGCCTCGAGCGGGAAGTGGATATTTAGGTTGCATATCGTTGGATTTGCATGAAACTTGGTATCCAGGGGTATTTCGGCACGAAAAGAACGAATCTTTCATTGAATATCTGAAATCTTGACAAATTCCAAAATGGCGGCGGAAAAATGGCGGGAAATCAGTTTTACGGCTGTTTACCGATGGATTTGCATGAAATTCGATATCCTGGCGGTTTTTGGCTGGATAAAAAGGAATCTTTCATTAGATTATTGAAATATCAATTAATTTTATGCTAATCCATCGGTAAACAGCCGTAAAACTGATTTCCTGCCATTTTTCCGCCACCATTTTGAAATTTGTCAAAATTTCAGATATCCAATGAAAGATTCGTTCATCTCTAGCCGAAATACCCCCAGATACCAAGTTTCATGCAAATCCAACTATATGCAGCCTAAATATCCACTTCCTGCTCAAGGCCGCCATTTTGACCGCCGCCATTTTGAAAAGGACTGACTTTTCAGGAAAATCAATGCCAGAATCGTTTTTCTCGTCTCAAAAAACCCTAAGATTCCGAGTTTCACGCCAATCCGTCAATAAACAACGGAGATGCCAAATTTCCGCCAGTTTGAACTTTGACCGGCCGCCATTTTGTCAAAAATGAACATTTTGTCCTGCGGTTTGCGCCAAAAATTTTCTATCTTTATTATCTTTCAAATGAGGTATCACAAAGTGGGGGTTGCTATTTGAAAAAAAAGTTAGACCCCGCCCCCCTAAAGGAGGGCTGCCCTCCAAAATTTTGGGGGGACCAAAAAGTTGCTACTTTAGACCGAGGAACATTCCCAAAGTTTCAAACTTCTATCTCAATTTGGAAAAAAGTTACAGGGGTGGTCAGTGACTTTTGGATAACCCTGTATGTAGCGGTTTAACTAAGCAGGTGTGTCTAATTTGCAAAACGAAGGGAATGGGGGTGTCAGTGTAAAGAAGATCCATTTCATTTTGCCTTTCTCTGAGGCCGTTGGTAAATTCGAGCACGCATGCAAAAATTAGGACTTTCAGACGCTCTTATTCCTCACCCAGCTTGCAACATTAATGACTTTGTGCTTATTTTCATTTTATTTTTTAGAATTTTTTTCCTGTTGCTAATTTTACTGGTGACTTAGTACCTAGTAAAAAATTAGCAACGGGAAATCGTCATAGCTGGAAGTGAAGTACATTCTTTTTTCTTACTCTGGCCTTTTGTTGCCCGCCGTACCTAACCTTAGATTGTCCTTTACCGTAAACGAGCAAAAGTTTAATAATTTTTCGCCCTTAGTGAGGAACCTGTAGAGATCACAATTTTTTTTAATTCGTTCACTGCACTTCATCTCTATATGAGCCAAAAGAAATTTAAAAATGCATTATTATCGCACGTAGGTAGAGTACCGATAGTTTGAAAAGCAAGCCTGATTACCTACGTTAAGCGAATTTTCGTTCGTTAACTGTTGACGAAATCCAAAAAAAGTTTACGAAATACGTCGTCAAAACAAATTTTCATTCTTCGGTTGGGATTGAATGGGCGTGGCCTAACCTCTCTCGCCATATCGCCTGTAATTACTTAAGTGCAATTTAATTATCGTCAACAGTTTACAGTTTCGTAAAAGCTGCGTTACTAAACTCTCCGGAGAGCTCTCCGGAGGATTGGGAGTGGAGAGTCTCGGAGAATTACTCGGAGGGTTGACGTCATCTCTCCAGTCTCTCCGCGTTGTTGGGTCCGGCATGGTCCGCCGGATTCTGTTTTGTTTACGCTTCAATTTTAAGTTAAGTTTCTTTATTCATTTCGTTTTCGCTATCGATAATTTAAGGGAATAAATTAAATCATGACTTATGAGCATTCATTCGTTCAAACTCTTCTAGTGGAAGCTCCATAGTTATTCTCGTCCCAAAGTTAAAAATGAAATCCACAAACACTTTCATCTTTAAATATTTGAAAATTCTAAAACTCACTGCATAGGCAGAAAGAAAGGGGCGAGAATGCTAAACGCCTATATTCTTACGTCAGTCTACGTGTTGGTCACCAGCTCTCCGACAGGGGCGTAGTTAGGAAATTTTTCTGGGGGGGGGGGCATGGGACCACCTCTCGTGGTGAAGAGAGCGGGGGGTGGGTGAGGAATGGAGGATCCCGTTTTTCTGGGGGGGGGCAGGCCCCCCCAGGACCCCCCTAGCTACGCCTATGCAAGGGTGGGACCCCCTAGTTACGCCTATGCTCACCGACCTCGAGAGGTCGGAGAGCTGGAGAGCAGTTTGGAGACTGACGTTGACGTAGCATGACGTAGCAAGTCTCCGGGTAATTCCTCTGGAGTCAGAACAACGGTTGTTTACGTCTCCGGGTAACTCCGGAGAGCTCTCCGGAGACTTTAGCCACGCAGCTAAACGTGCTCCGGTCCTTTTGACGCTTCTGGTTGAGGGAGAGAAACCCATCAACAGTCCCGGGAACAGGCCACCGGGCTCTGAATGGTTGATGAAAATACCGACTTCGTTAACGTCAACTCTTCACGGATTTCATTAACGGCTGACGAACGAAAATTTGCTTAGTGTCTACGGTGCGGACAAACGAATTTAAGGTGGTTCGATGGACGCCATATTTTGTGTCGGAACGGCATGCGATATATCGCATCAATTTTATTCCATTTTTTCAGCTACTTGTCATTTTTCTCCAATTTTCAGATCGCAATTCTGTTGTCAGGAGACTATAGCACTCACTTACCAATTTTAACAAAGAAATTCAACGTAATAAAGGCGTGTTTTTTTAGAGAGAAAATGTAGCATTCGAGTGCAGTTTCGATATCAGTATCGAATGCGATGTTTTCTCTCTAAAAAAACCACGCCTTCATTACTTACGTTGAATTTCTTTGTTAAAATTGGGAAGTGAGTGCTTTAGTCTCCTGACAACATAATTGCGATCCCAATATTGGAGAAAAATGACAAGTAGCTAAAAAAATGGAACCGATTGATGCGATATATCGCATGCCGTTTTGACACAAAATATGGCGTCCATCAAATCACCTTAATCTCCGGCACGGCGGCGCGTTAACCGAGTCAAGAAAAAAAATTATGCTGAAGATTTTCCACAATCAAAATCGACTTTCCAAGAGTAAGGAGTTCAAAAACTTGCTGGGGTCTGAAAGCAAGTACCCAACTTCATTTTTTCAAACAACATTGGCTTCAACATGAAAATTTACTGAAGTAATTCTACTCTCAGATTCGGAGGGTTCCCAATCCAAAATCCCCTGACAAACTCTCTCTCAAGATTTGCACTTTTTTGTGACCTTTTTCGTTGAGAATGATTCTTTAAGCTCATGCACGCGCAGTTTGTTTACGAACTCAAAATCTGCTGAGATATGTTGGACTTAATCGATGCGATAAGTACCTATGGCACACGCCCTTTTCGATCACGCCAGAATCAGAGACGAATCCCCTTGAAAACGGTAAAAAATTTGTTCAATGATAAACAATTTTGCAGAAGCTACTTAATTGAGATGAAATAGGTAGGTGTGCACGTTACGATCTAGATGGGATGACCAGAATCAGCATAACTATAACCCACGTTGCCCAATGGAGTTGTTGCATGTGTGAGGGATTTGCGATATGACTGTTGTTTCCTATGTAAAAGTTCGCGAGAAACACGATGGTGCCACTGGTTTTCCCTGAAATCAACTCCCAAGCTCAAAAAAAGCTCTCAGAGTGAGGTCAAAATGGAGGGGATATCCCGCCCTACCTTGGGAGTCCACCTCTACATCAAAACAAACTCTCCATGCAAAGATAGGGAGCAAATACAATAGCAGGGTTGCCGTGTTTTCAGTTTTGCAGTCCCCAAATGAAGTGGCAGCCTGTCAATGTATTTGCTCCCTATCTTTGCATGGAGAGTTTGTTTTGATGTAGAGGTGGACTCTCAAGGTAGGGCGGGATATCCCCTCCATTTTGGCCTCCTTTCGAGAGCTTTTTTTGAGCTTGGGAGATGATTTCAGAGAAAACCAGTGGCACCATCGTGTTTCTCGCGAAATTTTACATAAGAAACAACAGTCAAATCGCAAATCCCTCACACATGCAACATCTCCATTTTCGCTCGTATTTTACTTCCTCTAGGTATTTCCCCAAGAAAACTGAGCCACATTCTACCCTGAAAATTTGTGAGTAATGCACTAATACAGTGTAATTCTCGTAATCTCAGCGATTTCACAATGCAAAGAAGTTCCATCGTATTAACCGAATACTGTAATGTTCCATATGGACCGAACTTCATTATAGAGAGTTCGATTCGTTTGACCGATTCTTCGACCGGTATGACCGAAATCTATTTCCCAGTTCCGCTCAAATTGTTAAATCTGGATAATCGCGAATCTTTCAACGGTCGAGATCGAACTATTTCGTCCAGTGCACGATCAGAAGGCGTTATCTTTATCCGTTAGCTTCCCAATAAAGTATATATATATATATACATATATGAAATTCATGACTAGTTTTCAACCATTTTAATGACACTTTGCAACATTTTTCACTACACTCTACAAGCCGACGTTTCGGAGACAAATTCTCTCCATCCTCAGGGCAGACGATTTATTCATAACTGAACGAGGAAAAAACACAGAAAGCACAGTCGCAGCAAGAGACCAGTTTAACGATAAAAGGAGACATGACAAACATCAACACAAACAATAACAATAAGCCCCCGCCGCAGAGACGCAGTACTCATACACAATGAAAGTTTTCAGAGATTAGAAAAATATTCCTCAAAGTGAGCAAACTCAGTCCTAGAATTTATAGCATTTTGGTTATTTAAAATACATAACTCATGAATACTCATGAATTTTATTTATTATTAATTAACAACCGTGAACTCTTCACACATATATACACTTGTATGGATTTAAATGAGAGATACAACCGTTACACGTATTAATTTAGGTATTTATTTTGCCAACGTTTCAGAGGCTCATTGCCTCCTTCATCAGGGCATGAGATGACCTATGGTCATAGATAAATACCTAAATTAATATGTGTAACGGTTGTACATCTCATTTAAATCCATACAAGTATATTTCAACCCAACCATAAAACTCTTATTTTATATATATACCCAGATCAGAGGAATAGGTACACAGGCAATTAGGCAATATTTGAGCAATTTAGTTGATTTTGGTGAAATATATCGTGAAGCACAACAATTGGATCCTAAGGTAATGTAAACTGCATGGCCGAATGTCCCTATTTGTAGCGGGTTAAATTACGTCAAACAACACTGATACATAGAGGAAACTTGCAATTGAATAAAAACTTTAGGGTGCTAAAGCAACTGGACACTGTCGATTTAGAGCCAATTTATCACTAATGACCCTGAATTTCTGCTAACCGGGACTCGGGTTGTCAAAACACTCGTGAATCGAACACTTGAACAGTTGAACTTATGGATGCACGAATGGAACGCGGCACAGCACAGGATCAACGAAGACGGCGAGACGCAAATGACTGCGACAGAAATAGTAGGTACGCGGAGCACTCGAATGCAGGTACACAGGTGTACTCTGTGGCGGGTACCTACGCCTGACTGATTTCACTGAGCTCAGCGGTGCGGTGACGCAGTACGGACACTGTGGAGGGATAAGTGAGGGGAAGGACTGGATTGATGATGACTAATTCGCGGCCACGATGATGCGGGAGAGCACGGCCGGGCATAGAGAAAACACAGAAGGTGGTGGCAAGCGGAAAAACGTACTTCTCTACGTCACAGCTAAAAATGAAGCCGCCCCTCTGATTGGTCAATAGGATCACGGGAAAACCCAGACCTCTTTGAAAGAGGGTTATTCATATAGGTGAAAAATGTACCCAGCCCGGAATGTACGAAACTTTGTGAGCTGATAGTACTAGTTGAGAGAGGCTTATCCCTAGCTCCGTTTTTGCAGGAACCCCAGGGAAACAGCTATACCATTTTTTAAAGTCGTAACCTTCAAACACCCATAACTTTCGCAGAAATGCAGTTACAGAGCTCGTATTTATACCAAAAGATGCAAAAAATTACGGTCTATCGACTAATGCCAAAGAAATTTTAATTTGACTCCATTGTTGCCACGTTTTGGCCATTTTTTTTAATTTTCGTAATTATTTAAAATCACGTTACCGCCTAAAAAAGTGTTTGCGGTTGGTGGGGATTGAATAAAAACCTGTCGGAATTATTGTTCGTTCGATTTCGCATCCATCGATATATTATATTTTTCTGAGAGACTTAGGGAACACGAGTTATAGCGATTTGAAAATTCGGCAACACGCCCTTTACCCCGATATTGACGCTCGTTTAGGTACGTTTCGCAACTCCGTGTTTAAGCAAAACGCCTAGAACAAACAAAATTCGAAAAGTCAGTTCATGTTTTGCGCTTTTTTGAAACTTTCACATGATTTTTAGGAATTCAAGGAGCGGCGGTGTTGCCGGTTTTCAATGAAAACCACCGCTGCCATCACGATTTAAAGTAGTACTCATTTAATCTTATCCAGCTACATTTGCTAACCTAAACTGACCATTTGCGACATGGTGTTGACAACATTGCCTAATTTCCGTCGGAATTCGCGTAGAGGCGGGGCTGCCAGTATTCATGGAAACCGCCACCGCAATCACAAAAAAAAATGTATTACTTATTTAATCACGTTCAGCCTTATTCTGTAGTTGGAATTGTTTATTTATCGGATCGATGGTTTCATCCATCTCTCTGTAACGGCAGTGGTGACCGACAGTAACGAGATATCGAAATTTAAAGCTACCGAATCACTCAAGCGGTCCGATGAGTAGTTTTGGCGAGGGGCCTAGATCCATTGCTTTTGATCTCTATACAATATCGATATCTCGGTACTGTCAGGCACCACTGCCGTTACAGAGAGATGGATGAAACCATCGATCCGATAAATAAACAATTCCAACTACAGAATAAGGCTGAACGTGATTAAATAAGTAATACATTTTTTTTTGTGATTGCGGTGGCGGTTTCCATGAAAACTGGCAACCCCGCCTCTACGCGAATTCCGACGGAAATTAGGCAATGTTGTCAACACCATGTCGCAAATGGTCAGTTAAGGTTGGCAAATGTTGCTGGATAAGATTAAATGAGTACTACTTTAAATTGTGATGGCAGCGGTGGTTTTCATTGAAAACCGGCAACACCGCCGCTCCTTGAATTCCTAAAAATCATGTGAAAGTTTCAAAAAAGCGCAAAACATGAACTGACTTTTCGAATTTTGTTTGTTCTAGGCGTTTTGCTTAAACACGGAGTTGCGAAACGTACCTAAACGAGCGTCAATATCAGGGTATAGGGCGTGTTGCCGAATTTTCAAATCGCTATAACTCGTGTTCCCTAAGTCTCTCAGAAAAATATAATATATCGATGGATGCGAAATCGAACGAACAATAATTCCGACAGGTTTTTATTCAATCCCCACCAACCGCAAACACTTTTTTAGGCGGTAACGTGATTTTAAATAATTACGAAAATTAAAAAAAATGGCCAAAACGTGGCAACAATGGTGTCAAATTAAAATTTCTTTGGGATTAGTCGATAGACCGTAATTTTTTGCATCTTTTGGTATAAATACGAGCTCTGTAACTGCATTTCTGCGAAAGTTATGGGTGTTTGAAGGTTACGACTTTAAAAAATGGTATAGCTGTTTCCCTGGGGTTCCTGCAAAAACGGAGCTAGGGATAAGCCTCTCTCAACTAGTACTATCAGCTCACAAAGTTTCGTACATTCCGGGCTGGGTACATTTTTCGCCTATATGAATAACCCTCTTTAAAAAGGAGCGGGAAAGGTTGTAAGGTTCCCACCTATTTTGGCTCTAAAAACTCGTAACTGTTGACTTTTAGTTGCAATATGTTTTTCTATCAATGTTCGAATGTAACTGAGAATAATTTGTAAGTTAATTAAAAATACGTATTTCTTATAACAACAACTTTTATCTCGACTCGTCCCGTTTTGAGGGTATAACCAAGTTAAATTACGTTCATAAGCGTCAAAAAACAGAAATAGGGGAGTATTTGTTACTTATGTTCAGTTATGTGTACATATGACATTCAATGTTAGTTTTAGTGGTGATGTAGGTCTTTATACAGGTTCCATTATGAACTGCATGAAATGCACTTTTTAGGCAGATTTCGAAGAAATATCTACCTATTGCAGACGGTACGAACTCGTAATTTTCGGTAATTTTCGCTCAAATAGAGCATCGATCCTGAAGCCCTGAGTTGAAAAATGTAGGTCATAAAAAGATATATATATATAATTCTAATTTCATGGTTATTTTATGTTTAATAAAGCGAACTTCATGAGTTGTATAACCGTAACTTTTTATTTATTTTAAACAAAAAATTTTTTTTACAATGCGACGTTTCGGTGGCTTATTATTCGCACCATCATCAGGCAGAGACTGAGGCGACAAAACAAGGAAAAACGAGAAATAAACACCTAGTCCTCCGATCCAACACGGTCAGGGAAGAGAGGAAAAGGTAGTTACAATCTAACGAACATTACAAACATTGTTGCCTGAGTTACAGCTATTAATAAATGGTCGACAAAACAATGGGTAACAATTAAAAGGTATCGGAACCTACCAAATAATCCTCAAAATGGGAAAATTCTGTCCGTGAATTCAGAGCGTTGTTATTTTTAAGGATGCTTAACCCTTCTAAATTTAAACGGACCTGCTCATTTTTCTCTTGTTTTAGCACTCTGGTGTTATCATAATCAAATTGATGGTTTGTTTCTTTTACGTGCTGCTTAAGTGCCGTTTTTTCATGCTTATTAAACTTGTGTCCGTCAAGGCGCTTATGTACATACTGTGAAGTCTGCCCAATGTAGACCCCTGGGCACCCTTTGCATGGGATTTCATAAACCACGTCGGACATTTCCTCGTTTGGGATTTTGGTTTTTAGAGCTGATTTAAACCCTTTCAAATTACACTTATTTGTTGTTACTAGCGATAATCCAAATGGTTTTATTGCGGCACTTAATTTTTCAGAATATGAGGACAAATATGGACCAACCACCGTCTCTCCTTTTTCCCTATTTTTGCGAGGGGGGAAACCGTTGTAGCAAGAATTTATTACCTCTGCAAAAATTGACTCGATAAGTGACCACGGGTAACAATTCTCAATCAAGCCGGCATTAAAGCATGTTTAGAGTCAACAGTATTCACTTTCGGCGAAGAATGCTTCAAGCAGATAAACGGCTTGGCAATGGGGTCACCAGTAAGCGCCAATGTTGCTAACCTGGTAATGGAATACTTTGAAGAAAAATTATTTCAAGTGTTCCCTTATAAATTGCTATTCTATAAACGTTTTGCAGACGATATTATCTTATGCTGTCACAAAGATGATCTTGACAATGTTTTCCATTTTTTCAATAATTTTTCGAGCAATATCAAATTTACACTCGAGCGTGAAGTCAACAACTCTTTAAATTTCTTGGATGTCACTGTCATAAAAAACAGAGGGAAATTGATCACGTCATGGTTTAAAAAACCAATACTTTCTGGTAGATATTTCAATTTTTTGTCTGTGCAACCACTTCCACAAAAACTCAATGTGGTAAAAAATCTTGCAACGCGTGTATGTTTGTTGACACATCCTTTGCTCAGAAAAGACAAAATAAAAGAGGCAAAGCAATTGTTGATTGAGAATTGTTACCCGTGGTCACTTATCGAGTCAATTTTTGCAGAGGTAATAAATTCTTGCTACAACGGTTTCCCCCCTCGCAAAAATAGGGAAAAAGGAGAGACGGTGGTTGGTCCATATTTGTCCTCATATTCTGAAAAATTAAGTGCCGCAATAAAACCATTTGGATTATCGCTAGTAACAACAAATAAGTGTAATTTGAAAGGGTTTAAATCAGCTCTAAAAACCAAAATCCCAAACGAGAAAATGTCCGACGTGGTTTATGAAATCCCATGCAAAGGGTGCCCAGGGGTCTACATTGGGCAGACTTCACAGTATGTACATAAGCGCCTTGACGGACACAAGTTTAATAAGCATGAAAAAACGGCACTTAAGCAGCACGTAAAAGAAACAAACCATCAATTTGATTATGATAACACCAGAGTGCTAAAACAAGAGAAAAATGAGCAGGTCCGTTTAAATTTAGAAGGGTTAAGCATCCTTAAAAATAACAACGCTCTGAATTCACGGACAGAATTTTCCCATTTTGAGGATTATTTGGTAGGTTCCGATACCTTTTAATTGTTACCCATTGTTTTGTCGACCATTTATTAATAGCTGTAACTCAGGCAACAATGTTTGTAATGTTCGTTAGATTGTAACTATCTTTTCCTCTCTTCCCTGACCGTGTTGGATCGGAGGACTAGGTGTTTATTTCTCGTTTTTCCTTGTTTTGTCGCCTCAGTCTCTGCCTGATGATGGTGCGAATAATAAGCCACCGAAACGTCGCATTGTAAAAAAATTTTTTGTTTAAAATAAATAAAAAGTTACGGTTATACAACTCATGAAGTTCGCTTTATTATAATATATAACATATAATATAGAATATATATATATATCTATTATATAAATGTAGATATATATAAAAAAATACGATATA